TTAATTATATTTTTATGAAATTTTGGTCACAGCTATTAGAATACACTCTTAATTTAGTGGCGTAGTAATTTTTAAATAAAAAAAATCGCTAATAAAAATTCTCCATTTTCGACTACGAAAAAGTATCGTATTATAGGTACTCTAAAAATTAAAATAAACATTTTAAATTTTGTCCCAAAGTAGATTTTTTGTCACCTGATAATTAAAAAAAAATTGGTTCTAATTGGTTAATACCTTCAAATTTTACAGATTCAACAATCAAAATGGGTCACATTGTATAAATGTATCCATTCAATTTTAATAGGGAAATGTATTTAAGTATTATGTGATAAGTGATAACCTTTTTATAACAGTGTACGATGCAATAAATCAAAAATTATGTAAGTACCAACCAACATTTAGTATAATTTTATAGAAATGTTTTATCTAAACTGATTAGTATGTCAAAAGAAAGGTGTTAGTCAAAAAATGAGTTAGGTATTGATCTAAAAACTAGTTGTCTTTAGATTAATAACAATAAAACTTAGTTCTAAACAGATAAATTAATTAGTAATAAAGAATAAATAATGTCTTAGCCTAGTTACAAAAATTTTAATATTAAAGTTCACTTTAGCTTAAATTTGGTTAGGATTCTTTAAAATTTAATCATGTCAAGTATCATTTTCTTTGATCACCTTCTATTTTAAGTTCTGTATAATAATTAAAATTAACAGAATTTACTGTAGAATAGAATTCATTCTTATTTATCTTTTTATTAATGATCTATTAACTATTTCTAGGCCTTTTAAAAGAAGATATTCATCAGTTTGAGAGCTCAAAAGATTTACTTGTTTTTCAAATTTGTGCAGAGGTACCTTATAATCCTATTGGACGTGATGTTCCAGCGATGTAATGTCTCAGCTTATTCTTATATTATTGTGGAAATTATAATTCAGCTCTTGAAGTTTTAAGCGGCGATTTTCAAAAATTCGACAGCAGATTTTCTACTGTCATCACAGCTCCAATTAGGCATTCCAACGACCTGTCCAAATGGCTACCAGTGGGTAATGACAGTTTAGATATGGCAACCCTGTTGTCATGTTGTCATTAACAGGGTCAATTATACATATATAGTTATATAGATTGCTCAAAGCTGGTCGTTTACGAGCGGCCATATTGCCAGGCAAATATTTATTAATTTCGATCGGTTTAGCAAAAATGCGTTTTAAAACCAATTTTTAGCCTTTAGATATTAAAAAAAAAAATAATTGCTTACATTTTTACTTCAAGGCATACGCTTATGTTTATTTTGAAAAATATGGATAATCAATCTATGTAACTATCTATTTCATTGACCTTGTCAAATCACCAGGTCTACAGGGTTGCCATAATTTTGCAATATTATAACCCGTCAAAGCCCACTGGTAGGCATTCAGTTTGGAATTTGGCATTCCAAACTGAATGGCTACCAGTGGGTTTTGATGGGTTATGATATGGCAAAATTATGGCAACCCTGTAGGCCTGGTACTTTGACAAGGTCAATGAAATAGATAGTTACATAGATTGATTATCCATATTTTTCAAAATAAACATAAGCGTATGCCTTGAAGTAAAAATGTAAGCAATTATTTTTTTTAAATATCTAAAGGCTAAAAATTGGTTTTAAAACACATTTTTGCTAAACCGATTCAAATAGAGGACTTCTATACAAGGGAAGTGCAACCAACTTAACAAAATAAAAATGACACTAATGACATAAGAAATCGGGTCACATAAAGAGGCTGTTTTTAAGTTTACTTTTTTGTTTTTCTTATATACTTTTATGCCATTTACATACCATGTTGTACCCGTAAGGTAAAAAAGACTTTTAAGTTTAGGGTATTTTACATCTAAAGGTTGAAAAAATTTGTCAGTGTCAGCTGTCAATTATGTTGTTGGTAGAACACAGGCGTAACCATAGATGGGCATAACGTAACTAGTATTGTATATGGTTGTATAGTGTATGGAACTTGTATTTGTAGCAGCAGCATTTTTGCATTTGACATAAATATATAAAACCAAATGAAAAAAATGTTTAAGGAAACCGGGTGAAACACAAATAGACTATTAACAATAAAAAAATAAATTGCAATGCTACGCTTATGTTTTGACATTATCGACAGCTGATATTAGGTTCTTTCGTTCGCTGTTGGTGCAGTTTCCACCAGTGTAAATTACACCAGTTACACCCCCTTATTTACCTTAGTTTACTTCCCTCCTTATTCCTTATACACATTTCGAGTGTAATTCACTCCTGCTAAATAGCTGGTGGAGAAAATATCCACCAGTGGACACCACATCGCCGACAGGAAGGTTTAGTGGATTTTACACCGGGCCGAACGAAAGGTTTAGTGTACGTTGGTGTAGTTCATTCCTACACCAGTGGGACGAACGAAAGAACCTATTGATAGATGTCTTCAACCTTTAAATGTAAAATACCCTAAAATAAAAAGTCTTTTTTACGTTACGGGTACAACATGGTATGTAAATGCCATAAAAGTATATAAGAAAAACCAAAAATTGAACAAAAAAACAGCCTCTTTATGTGACCCGATTTCTTATGTCATTAGTGTCAATTTTATTTTGTCAAGTTGGTTGCACTTCCCTTGTATAGAAGTCCTCTATTAATAAATATTTGCCAGGCAATATGGCCGCTCGTAAACGACCAGCTTTGAGCAATCTATATAACTATATATGTATCATTGACCCTCTTAATGACAACATGACAACAGGGTTGCCATATCTATACTGTCATTACCCACTGGTAGCCATTTGGACAGGTCGTTGGAATGCCTAATGCCTAATGTCGAGAAGAAAAGTAACAGGTAATACAGGAATATTTTTTATCGACTTTACGATAAGACTTTTTTAATGTTTATTGTACAACAGATAATGAGAGACTGTCTTCTATTTCCGCGGAAATTGCTTTTAATAAAGTTTGATGTCACAGCCTACTTAGACGTGAATTTCATTGATTTTTCCTTCAAAATCTATGTACGAGGATGATTTATTATTTTTTATAAATGTTTTTTACTCTAATTTAGTCATTTTCACTAAATAGTTTTAACAATTATAATTTACATTATTTACAAAGATTACCTAGCTTTTTCTTAAATTAAAGCTTTTATATACAAATTTTTGTAAAATATTTCATAAAATTATTGACCTACAAATTACTTTATTTTTTACTTTTTTTAATGATATTTAGTTATTTTGGGATTCTAAATATTTGAAGACTCTTCTAGAAACCATATTTAATATTATATATGCATTAAATCTCATCTACATGTTTTAAAATTAAATATTTTTTAGGATCGGAGGTAGAGTCTGCACTGACATCTTAATTTGTATCCAGCTATTAGGATTGGACTTACCAAAGTGTGGATTGTGTCAGTAACTAATCACAAGACTCCATTCTAAAAGTTTCCAGTAAATTTTTTCTCAAAAAAACTTTGTTAATGATATAAAATTGCATGTAAAGTCAAATTTGCTATGTTGATAGGTATTCCAAATCTGTAAGTATTATTAGTTTGTATTAATTTACAATTCATCGTACCTACACTCTTATAAACTTATTGTGCTTTTTTTAGCTTAAAATTAGATCTTTTTAACATTATTTACACAAGTTATTTATGAATAAATTATTGGAAACATTAATTAAAAATCTCAATTTACTATTATTGTACCTTGTACATTTTTAGACTATAAAATATTTCTACAAAAAATTGTCCGTTACAATATATGTTTATCTAAATTTAGATATTATAGAGAGTTATTGCAAATTTCTATAACGTCAGCCACTAATAGTGACAACGTAATTAGAGGCAAATAAATTCCCTGCTAAAATAAGACTTATTGCAAACCTGAAATTTTGACATGAGTCCTTATCCTTATACATATTTCTAATGTCATTTTAAAAATTTAAAATTACAGTTAATCTTTTTTGTTGTTTATAATAGTACATAATATGGAAGAGGCATTAGACATTAACATTTTAGAAGGTTTAGATGACGATAATATTAAATATTTAATATTAAAAAATTTCGAACTGATACGAATGGTAGCGAGCGCACCCGAAAACTATAAAGTCGTCAACTGCTCGGCTGCTCCATTTCAAAACACAGTATCTGCAAATTTGAAAAATCAGAGAAAACGCTATTTTAGTGTTTTTGCTTGGCCTTCGCAAACCTATTTAGATAATAATATGGCTTTTGTGTTACTAGGTAAAAAAATACTATTTTCCATATCCAGAAAAAAAATTAGATTTTTTTGATATTGTTTATCTTATAGCACATACTGTGTTTTGAAACTGGAAACTTATCTTTATGTTTTAACCAAAACACAGTATGTACTGCGGAGCAGTAGATACTGTGTTTTAGAATGGTAACTTGTACATATTAACTTTTGAATCAAAACACAGCATATACACTACTCTGGGTATAAAAAAGGCTTTAAAGCTAAAAATACCTGTACTAAAACTGAACTAGATTAAAGTAAAAAGATTTTTCAATTATTTTAAAACGTGTTTTTATTTTTATATTTTTTGATTATTTTAAAAGAACAAACTAAACAAATAAACAAAATTAAACCAACACGTTCTTTACTGTTAATCAATATTTTCTGTTCCTTGACTGTCTACCAAATCCTGAGCCGAGTCATTTTCTTTAATACTATTCCAAAATTCCAGCCGATTTTTAGACATTAATTGTCCTAACACCGCGATGATCGCATCTTTCTTTTGTTTTGGTATTCCCCTAACTGGTATGGCTTCAGGCTCCTGCATAGTTCTTCTAAACTTCTTTTGCAAAAAATCCTCTGAAGCATAACTTTCCTGATCAAAGTCGGTTTTATACTGCAACAATGTAGATCCTTTCTCAAATTCCACTTCAACCAAATCTTGTAGCAAAAATCCATTCATGGGATCTTCTTTGTTTTTTTGTGGTTGTCTTTTTTTCTTCTCCCATTTAAGGAACTTATTTACATCAAGTACATAACAATTTTTTCCTAGAAGAGGAGACGGCTTCTTTTAAATCCTCGTAATCGTAAATTTGACCAAGTTTCTGTATCCTTTCAATATTGCCATGAATACCGTCCGCACTCATGTGCGTGTGCCCCTTTGTTAGATATCTTAATGACACGGAATTAATTCCACAACTTTCTTGATTTATTAAATAAACTAATGCCGTATACAGAATCCAATTTTTATTCTGGCCCGTACAATTGTCACACCAAATTATATAATCTTTAACATCACGTTCAACTTGAAAAACTTTAAAAATTGCATCAACAATATTATGACCGTCACGGCCAGCAATCCCTTCGTGCCACATTGAGCAATAATTTTTAGTAGTTGGATTCTGCTTTAATGAACAAAATGTTAAATTAAAAGCCACAAGGCGACTTACAAATAGGGCATCTTTTACTCCTGGCATAATGGGCAATAGAATAACTTTTTGGAGGTCCATTGAATAAATTCCTAAATTTTCATTTTCTGGCACTAACGAGTTAGCTTTGTATTTAGCGGTTGCTTTTGAGACCTTAACTTTGTGTTCATTCCATTTTTCTTCAGTGTCAAACATGTATATATTCCCGTTAGGGTTCTCTCACGCAATTGATATTTTGTAGGTCTCACAGTCAACACACACATCAGACTTGGGCATGCGCAAAGACACATGCATAGATTTCAGTGTTGTTCTATAGGTTTCGAGTTTACAAAATCCTGGGTGTTTTACAATAAAATCACTGTACATTGCTTTAACAGTAAGCTCTCGAGGCACGTATCGCATATTGGGAGCATTATGACGTCTGTAATGGCTAACAGAAGGTTTGTAACTATTAATATGATTAATAAGTACAGTGCGACATAGTGCTCTTTCAGGATTGGAAATTCCTCTATTTTCTCTTATATTATTTAGAAGAGGTTCTCTTTTGATAGCCGCACACAATTCCGTTATTACAGAGTCATTGCTATATACCAAAGTGTTTAAGAAAAATCTTCTGCAGACACAGACACTTTGATTATTTTTGGGTAAGAAAAACTTTCGGCTATCGGCTTTTAAAAAGTGTTCAGCTGGAGCCTTTGTTACGGTTTTTCGTTGAATTTGTACTATTTGGACATTCTTTGCAAGCCATTTTCGTCGGTCACAATATTTAAGTGACCAATAATTTTCCCAAATGTATACTCTGTCTGCATCCACCAACAAGGACGAACACTTTTTCTTACACGGCTCAGGACAGCTCGGCCTCATAACATGTTTAAGTTTATCGCGTTTGACTTTCTCTTCATGATTACTTCTTTTTTCATTATTGGTCCTTCTTTTTATAACAGGTTCTTGAGTAGTTGTTGCCTGAGTATGTAAATTTATTGCTTCGGTACCTACTTGATTTGCCTCATGAAATTCAGGTGCAGCATATTGTGACTCCTCTGTCTGCCCTTCTTCTAAGAGATCTGAGTTAAAGCTTTTGAATGATTCGTCAATAGAGATGCGAGTTTGCTCTACCTCCATAACAAAATCTGGATCCGCAACACTGTCATCGCTAAAGGTTGTAATTATTGTTTCACCATCTTCGGCAGAATGGATAGGATCAATTTCGTATTGTATTTCTCTAAAAAACAAAACAAATTAATTCATGCCTACTACAAACAATGTTAAACTCCTTGGGGAAAATATTGTCTGGTAAGGGGTTTAATAGTTTGACACTTGCCAGAAAAAGGTTGCTTGCGGAGCTTAATTTTAAACCCTCCCTAAAAATTCTGCGAATTTATTAACGTAGGGAGGTAATATAAATAGGAAAATAATAAGAAATATCTGTCTAAAAAAAGAGGGGGTTCCCATAATTTGGGACACCCTGTACAAACATATATATGGTTTGTAATGTACAAACTTTACAGGGTTCTGTATACGAAAAGTGAGACACTCTGTATAATAAATTCAAATAATTAAAAGTTTACTAAGTAAAATACTTAGGTATTTGTTATTAAAGTCCACTATTTAGTACTCTATATTCAAACAACTAACACTAGGTAGGTATATACTTACATATTATCTGCAGCACACATAGCAACCATTCTTTTACAACGAGATGCCATACTTTCAAAAATGTTTAAACTTTTTAGTAAATGAAACAAATGCACTTTGCTCTGAGCTTATTCACCACCGCATCAGAAATTGCAGGATATGTAAAACAACAAACAATAGCGGTTTCTTGTAACGGTTTTTAACGACATCGCTTATCTTCCCGCGTGTTAAAAAAACCGTGCCAATACGCAGTATCTGGTATATGCTCTGTTTTAGGCCAGTAATTGGAAGATACTGTGTTTTGAGATGGTAAACCGGTATGAAGCATGATACTATTACTCGAGAAGATAAGCCCACTTGATGATCCAATTTCGACCACGTTTGCGCATGACGTCACCCGATGACAATAATCCAGCTCGTGGGCATGGAAAAGCATTACGCTAGAGCGGTTTTAATCAATATTTTAGGTTTATTATAATTTAGATAAATTATTTTTATAATATTGATATATTATTAAATTAAATATTTTTTAGCTTGCATAATCATCTTGAAATGTCAAAAAAATGTGTAAAAAAAGTATTATGAGCAAAAAAAATTCTTTCTATCGGTATTCACCATAACTTTTAAATGAATTGCGCTATAGATAGGTGTTATTCCATTAGGGGTCGAATTGGATTATTTATGAGTAAAATTGGTAAAGAGGAAGTGGGTGAAATGTCGGGGAAAATGATAAAAAATTGCAATTTTTCGTAAAAAATCGAGTGATATGTCGTTATATAGGTTTTTGGCTATGGACATTTTGATTTTATTATCCGTTTAATATTTTAATAGATAATTAGAAAAAGAGTAAAAAGGGAAGGAGTAAAAATTTTAAATATTTAAAAATCGAGTTGTCTCGTACTATTTTAATTTTAAAATTCGTTTAGTGATTTAATAAAAAATTACAGGTCGGGAAAAAAGGGAAGGGGGAAAAAATTCAAAATATTTGAAAAAAAATTCAAGTTAAATCTTATTTTAGAGCTTTTAAAGTATAGACATTTTCATTTTACAATCAATTTAATATTTTTACAAAAATTACGGATGAATGTAAAAAAGAAGGGGTAAAAATTAAAAATGTTTGGATAAACAAGTAATAAATCGTTAAAAGTTAAACAGCAACAGAAATTTGGAAATATTGATTTAATTTGCAGCAGTATTTTTTTGGGATTTTAGAAGGCGGTAAATGTTTTTTAAATGATAAACAATTTATTAAGTACTTAATTTGTATAGGACAAATATTTACAAATTTACACTTTTAATTTATTTTACAATTTTTGTCATTTTTCTCTTTCTCCCTTTGGATTTTTCTTTGATATCCCTATTTAATAAACAGATTTTAAAATACACGCACAACTGCTTTGCGCCGTATATAGAACTGGCTGTTGCTGAGTCGGGTAGTCTCCCAGTGACGTCAGGCGTGCGAGAGGGATGAGCTGATCGCATGCGCGTGGGTTTATCTTCTCGAGTAATAGTATCATGGGTATGAAGGGTGTAGATACTGGGTTTGGCACATTTAATATCTTAATACCCAGGGCTTTAAATGGTTCCAAACACTTGCTAAAAGATGCAGATCAACACTGTAACTCCATTTATGCAATAATCTCATTTTTTTTAAAATGTTGGATACTGTGTTTTTGAATGGGGCAGCCGTGCTGTCCTTAAACATCCACAATTAACGACAGGTACAATCTTTATTAAAGTCAGTTCTAGAATGTAAGTGATCTGCGCATGCTTAGATGTCAAAATAAGAGCGGCACTAACAGTGACTGACCTTAAGTGAACTTGTAATAACTCTCTATTCAAAATACTACACATATTAGTAAATTTTTAACGAAAATAAAATACGTTTTACAAACTTGTTTAATTTAATCTAAGCCCGATAAAATATAAATTTTCAAAATTTAATTACCCCAATTATACTTTTTTAAATAATATTTATTCTTCATTCAGAAAATAACATTTGATCCAATGTTATTTAACAAAATATTAGTATGCTTAAAATATGTACCATTCCTTATGAAATACCCTGTATATGCTCGTTTTTCATATATCTTAGTTCCATTCCTTGCCGCGGTATGAAGTCTAGCGCTGGCCATATAGAGACAAACACACCGCATCGAGAAGCTGCCGGATTGATCCCTTTGGAAAGCCGAGCGTTCTGGTACACAGCTGGCTTTATATAAATAGCGCAAGTTTGTCGACGGACGATAAGATTCAATGTAAGTATTGGACAGAAAAGATAAATTGTAATAAATAAATTCGAATTGTGAGTTATAATAGTAATAATAATAATAATAATGTTTATTTGCATAGAAATACATAGTACATAATTAATAACAACAAATAAAAGCAATTCATTTGTAATAAATGTCTTTACCCCAACAATATTTTATACTATTATAATTGACGTTGTTTTACCCATAAAGCATCCCTATTCGTAAAATTGATAAAATTAATAGAACAAAATGGAATATATTTCTTTAAAAATATTATTTGTGTCTTTATTATTCATTAGCACAAAATATGGAACTTTTTGTTAAATATCTACAAGTACAAGTATCTACAAGTGTTCAGATTTGAACATAATAAAATCAACATCTTGTATATTAAATTAATTATTTTATTTATTTAAAATGTTTAATTTCATACAGCGTTCCAATTTCGTATCTAGTTCGATGTGTAAATTATAATAATAAAAATGCTGAGTAAATCAAAATAAAAACTATTTGCAAAACATTGAACGAGGTCGAAATTGGAATAATATGTTTTGAATGTGTATTTAAATTATTAAATAATTGTAATTGTTATTTTTTATTGTTATTGTTTGTGATATTATAAATATAGGTGTTAATGAGATAATAAAGAGATTCATGAAAACCATCTTGTAGTATTAATTACAATAATTATCTTTGAAATCTATGCATGGTCCTTCGAGCAAAAGTTTTAGAAAATTTTGAAAAATTATACAAAAAAAAAATACAGTGTTGTCAAGAAAAGTCTACGGTAGAAAAAATTAAATAAAATGGAAGAAGCTAACAAATTTTCCCAGAAACAAGAAAAATTGGGCAAACAAATAATACAGCTATTAACAAATTCAAAAAAGGATTCCAGGTCAAGAAAAACGGAAGAATACACTGAAAATCGGCTTAGTGAGCTAGAGGAACTATGGCAAGCAGTACAACAAAATCATGAATTACTAGAAGATTTAGACATCCCAAACCATAATTATTTTAAATGCCTATACTACGACCAACTAAAATTAAAATATGATGAAGCCAAGCAGTACTTAAAAATGTGTCCAAAAGCCACAGACGAGAGCCAATTAACGCCTCTAGAATGTAATCAGGAAAGCAAAGAACAAGAAATAAGAATAAAAAAGCAATTAATAAAAATGGAACAAGTAGATCGACTCATCCAACAAGCTGATCAAGAAATATCAGAAGCTAAACTGACATCCAGGAGTTGGCTTATAACAAACATTGATAGATTATGGGAAAGTATTCAGGAATTACATGAAAATATCATGATCTATGAACCAACCAACCAACCAACCAACCAACCAACCAATCAAGACGAATATTTCAAAAATGAGTTATTTCTGAAAACTGAAATAAAGGTTAGTAACACCATGAAATTATTGGAAGAACAAATAGCGAATAAAGACCGTCAAAACATCCGAGAAAATAATAAACTTAATATACAACTCCCAAAAATTAAATTACCATTGTTTGATGGAACTTACGATAAATGGTTCTCATTTCATGACATTTTCCAAAAAGTTATTCACCAAAGCAGCTTCTTAACAACCATTGAGAAAATGCAATATCTAAAAACAAATATCCGAGGAGAAGCAAGCAAAATTATAGAACATCTAGAAATAACTGAAGACAATTATCTATCAGCATGGGAACTATAAGAGATTGCTTATATCAACATTAGTAGACAAAATACTAGATTTGCCTGTTTGCCACGATGAGTCAGTTGAAAAACTTAAACAACTTCATGACGTTACCATGGAATGCCTTAATGCCATCAAAAATATAGGTATTGAAACAATGTCTTGGGGACCCATTGTAACCAGAATAATAATGAGGAAATGGGATCCTACAACAAACAAACTGTTTGAACAAAACTTAACCAAGCCGCATGAAGTTCCAGACCTTGCCACAGTAATGGAATTCTTAGAAAGAAGATTTCAATCACTAGAGTCATCAAAAAATCAAGAGATGCCAAAAGCCAGGATTATGTATCCAAAATCCGAGATAAAAACAAGCTATAAAAATAATGGTTATAACACTTGTGGGTATTGCAACAAAGACCACACAATATATCAATGTGAAGCTTTCAAAGATGTTAAAGATAGAAACAACGCCATAAAAGGTAAACAATTATGCTACAACTGTATGGCTCATGAATCCAAATTTAAATGCAAAAGTTCATTCAAATGC